TGAAGTATGAATTTACTTGACACTCTGCATCAAGTAAAGTTTTCATAATTAGATTCATGGAAATTTGATGTATTTTGAATGTTATGGGGTCAAGAATTCTCCTATTCGCGAATAAAACAACCGACCCTGAGAAGTATATTATTATTTTTGGTTATCAGGTAATGAGGGATCGAATTTTGAGATCCAAACATCAACAACGTACCAACAAAGATCTGTCTTTATATTTGTTCAAACTTCTTGCGACTAGCAAATTTTTTTTGTTCGGGTCAGATGACCAAATGATAGAGAACCCTATGACAACCAAACACAAGAATTGATTGATATCCAATTCGGGCCTCCATGTTGGACATAGATCCACTAATAAACCTTGTCCGACATGCTATATAGGTGAGGACAATTGTCTTTATTGGTACGAGATCTTTTGAGTGAAACAAAAAATAAAATCGTTCTGAGTTATATCCAAAACAGACAATATCATACTATATTGTAAGAGATACTTGAGAGTATCATTGGGTACCCGTTGTCTTCGTAACGAACATTCGTTCGTGGCTCACATCATCTCCATTCTAAACATACGAAACCTCTCCATATGACATTTCATTGTGTCAAACTACATCCCTCTATCATATGTTATTTTCAATCTCTCTCCCTCTCTAAAGCTGCTATTTTTGACCCATTTATGTAATCTTATGTGTGTTTCTGCAAAGAACCAATTCAATGTAATCAGACAAACATGTCGTTTTTCCAAATGTCTCTCTCAATCTCTCAATCCTATACCCTTCCTTAGAATTTTTTTTTTTTACTATTGTTAAAATCAATTGAACTATCAAATTTTATTTCGTTTTCACCATGTTCTAAACATTATTAATTGTATTGTTTTTTGTGGATGTCCTTATCTTAATTTTGTTGTATTATCTGATTTTTTTTCCTTCACCAATTTCGATATTTGATTTAGTCCTAATTCTCTCAATTTGTTTCCTCTTTCAATTTAGTGGGAAGATGGGACGAAAAAGAAGAAAGAGAAAGATGAGGGTTTCTCTTGCTTTTGGCCAAATTAGAATAGGTTAAGCTAATTTCATGACTTATATTTTTGGGCAATTTATTTAGTAATGTTCTGTTTTTTTTTTTCAATTTTATTAAGACATCTAATATTTTGCGACTATTATGTTTCTTGTTTCTCATGTTTTAGAAACGTTCTCAAAATGGTATAGAAATTTTTAGAACGGTGAAAATAAGTTTCTTGTAATTTCTTGTTCCCGTTCCCAATTATTTGTTTCCGAACATAAACAAAAATATTGTTTTATCATTCTTGAATCTATGGATGTGGAGAGTCTTGTATCTACTTTTCTTTTAAAAAAGAAGAAACAAAAACAAGAAATGGAATCTTAGGGCCAGTTTGGTAACGTTACCGTTTCTTATTCTCGTTTCTAAATGTTATTAAGACACTTAAGTATTTTACAACTAAATTATATGTTTTTGGTTTCTCATTCGTTGGAAACATTCTCAAAATTGTATAGAAATTTTGGAAACAATCAAAACAAGTTTCTTGTTTCTTGTTTCTTGTTTCTGTTTCCAATTTGTTACAATACGTACATAATTATAAATATTATTTGATCATTCTTAAATTCATGAATGTTAGGGCTATACAAATCTATTTTTCTTTATTAAAAATAAGAAACAGAAACAATAAATGAGAACATTAACAAACTAGCTCTCACTAAATAGACTCTTGTAGTTTGATTTTGATAAGTGTTTTATTGGTTGAATTTGTATGGTTTACAATCATTATAGTTTGGTTCATTGGTCCAAATAGACCGAAGTAAATTTAAAAAAATTTACAGAAAATTGGCTCAAACCCTAAAGTTTCAATTTGGCCCAATATTTTACTCAAATTTCACCCATCGTTTGTCACCATATTGACCCATTTTTCACATGTGACAATGAACAAAAATGTTTTCTGTTAGGCTAATTATTAACTCAATTAAGATTTAAGGAACTTTTTCATGCGGTTCAAAGAATCTAGTTTAAAGATAACTGTGATTTGTGAGATTTAACTAAATCATTCCAACGACTCATTTTGTAATTTAATGAAAATTTTATTATAATAAGTTGAGCTATAATAAGAACATGTTCATGTTGAGTTATAGGGATAGATAAAAAGGGGGTAATGTTAAATTTTCTGTCTTTTTTTTTCTTCTTCTTCTTATTTATTTTATTTTTTTTTTTGCAAAAGGGTTTTTTTTTTGTCAGTTGGGGGGTTTGGACAAAGCCACATGCTACTGAGTATTGAGCATTTAATATGGCAGCAGAAGCAAAGAGCCCCACCACGAGACGACGTCGCATCGCATGCAGCAGCCATGTAGGGGCCAACAAGCCTATATATATATATATATATATATTGCATCTATTTTCCTTCCTCCATATGTTTTCCATTTTAATTCTCTCCCTTGTAATAATTAAGTTCTCCATGTTCTATGTCACACATTTTATCATCATTTTCTAGTTAACTCTATGAATTGTATTCCTAACGTCGGCGAGAAATAGGTCGAGATGTGATTCTTGGAATATAAGTAACGCAACCATGCTTCTCTATTAATATGAAGTTTTCTCGAATAAAACTAGAAATCAAATTCATGCAGGTTTTAGGCTCAATAAGAACCTAATAAAAATAATATATACGTCTCTTCATATATTTCTACCTACAATGATATATATTAGTCTATTTCATGCTTAAGTCTGATTGATTTGCTTTTAGTACTCTATTTATATTAGGGTTTAGAAGTAAAATGTTATGATTTTTGATGTATCGAGGATCTTTATTTTTAACTAATATAAAACTATATATGTTTACATTCCCAACTGAAATCAGTACAATTGACAAAGTTAGACCCAATTTGATGACTTTTTAAAAAAATTTTGTTTAATTTTTTGAAAATTAAGCTTGTATGCACCACTTTCATATATGTGTTCCTTTGCTTTGTGATCTATTTTTACAAATGTTTTCGAAAGTTTAAAGTCAAATTTTGAAAATTAAATTAAAAGAAATAGTTTTTAAGAACTGTTTTGTTTTTGAAATTTGAGGTAAAAAAACAAATAATGTGTTTATAAAAAAATTATGAACATGCGGATGAAATTATGGAAGAAAATTAAAAACAAAATTATTATCAAAGAAGTCTTACTTATTGGTTAAATATCTCCTGCATCAATCTCTCCAATAATCTCATTGTAGGTCTCGTGTTGAGATTGTAAGGTGTGGGCCGAAAAAGTCTCACATTAGTTAAGTAAGATAGTGATCCATAATATATCGATAAAGACAGTTTTATTCACATGAGATATTTTGAGTGACACCAAAAATAAAATGGTAAGAATTGTGTTCAAAATAGACAATAACGTACCACGAAAAGAATCATACCTTCAAAGTACAGTAAGGAAATATTCTATTTGTACGAACCAACAAGTCTTTTGCTTAATAGACTAATAATATAATGTTAATATTTATTTAATTACTCTAATGTGAGGCTTCTATAGATTATTATTATTCTTTTTTTTTTTTCGGAAAATTTGTCATTTGTGGCCCTTTAATGATTCCTTAACGAATCAAATATGATAAAATATATAGGGATTTGTGATTTAAAAAGTCTTGTCACATCAGATATTTATATAAAAAATATAAATTTTTGTAGCTAAGGTTTCTTGAATTGCTGAAGATAATAATTGCCTTTCTTAATTAATTGAAGAAAAATGCTTCTTTTTTTTTTCAAATTATATCATGAGAATATATCTGGGAAGTGGAGAAAAAATACTAAGAAACAGTTGCCAAATAAAAGAGGAGAAAGGAAAAGAAAATCATTTTCTTCTACTTATTTGGTTTGTTATGAATAAAAATAATATACTTACTGTTAAATTTGAAAATTTGTAAAAGTTGCAGGCCTTTTTCACCTTTTTTACCCAAATAATAAATAAGAAACCATGGTAACTAATTATAAATAAGAAAAATAAAAATATATATATTGGTTTTTATATTTTTAAATATAAAATTTCGATCTCCAAACTTTTGTGATTGTTTTGGTAATTACCATTAAATTTTTGTGCTTTTTTTTTTAGGTAATTAAATTTTTGTGTTTGAGCTTAAAAAAAAATGCTCCTACGTTTTTTTTTTTAGAGTATTTTAACTTTGAGAACCTTTTTAATTAAACTATAACTTAATTCTTTTGGGTTACTATTATAAAAGCAGCCCTCTTTCACAAATATTGCGTTTTTTTTAATATGCTAATATGCAACTTAGTCGTTCAAGAGCTACATCTTTTCAATGTTACTAACAATAATCACATGGAATGTACGTTGAATTGAATGTTTAACCTCCAAGTATTAGTATATTAAAAAGAGGTTGTCCTTAATATTTTGATCCCATCAACAAAAGCACAACTTTAGAAAATTACCCTTTATAATTTTGTTACAGTTTTTTAAAATTATTTTCWTAAAAGAAAATTTGTTTAAAAAAAGCCATTAACAAACAAGTTTATTTCTAAAAAATCACACTCACTTATCAACCTAATTAACTCACGACAGAAAGCAACAAAAAAAAATGCAAATTAAAAAGGTTTTTTTAAATATAATATTTGAGATGGTCCAAGATAGATATTTCAACCAATTGAGTTCATTTTCATGTGGCCAATGGCAAATTAACTTTTGTTAATCAAACCTCTAATTGTCAAAAAAATTTCAAGAAATTTCATCTTTTGATCACCTTTTAAAATTAAATACAAAGTGATAGGTTTGAATTTGACTAACCAAAAAAGCAGGGAGTGAATAATGTTAAAATAAGCAAAAATAAATTTAATAAATAATGATAAACATTTATTTATTTATTTATTTAGATAACATTTCAAGCTCTTGAAAAGACAGCTAGAGGTTTTGGTATTGGTATGCTCTTTGCATGCTTTTAATTTTAATAATTAATTATTGTATCAAAAGTCATCATCATCAAATTGTATTCATCATCATTTTATATATTATGATCTTAAATTTAACACATTATTCTAAGTTTCTAGATTTAGTTCACACTCAATACCATAATTTTCAATATCATGCTACTCCAATCAAAATTTCTCATTTGCTTGACATTGTTTAAAGTACCCATTAGATCGAAATTTTTAAATTAACAAATAATGATAAAATTTTATCTTCCCACAAATCGAACCAAGAAAATGATTTTGTAAATTTAGATATATACCACATTAAGTTGTTATTAGGCCAGCCAATTTATGCAGATAAGTTATGATAAATTTAATTTTTTTAATGTATTTATTTGTAGGTTTCTAATTAGGACATGATTATTGAAATTGTAAAAGTAAGGATGGTATATTGGAAAATGAGGAATGCAATGCCTAAAAAGACTGAAATCAAACCCTAATAAAACTTTAAATTGGATAAGATTAGCATAATCCAAATTTGAATAACCATATTCCAAGAAAAATTAAAAAGAAAAAAAAGGATTAGAATGATTTGATTGGCATTTTAAAATACAGTGGCATGCATTTAAATTTTCAAAGTTCAAAGAAAGCAATCGCTTTCTTGAATTTTAAAATGCAAATAATTTGCAAAATTCTAAAGTTCTTTCCTTTACATATACTCAAAACAAAGAAAAAAACAAGGTTTTGAATTATTATTTTTTTTTTTTTGGGGGGGTTAGTTAAATAAATAAATGGATAAAAATTGTTAAATTATTGTGTATGCATGCAGCTCTGTATGACAATGGTAGATTCTGTGGGCCCATTCATAGATTTTAATGATTTTTTGACTTCCAAAACCCTTCACTTTTACTTTTAAGACTTCTAGCTTTGACCATTGCTTTTTCTTATGTACCTATTGTTCTTGGCAGCTTGGGCCCAAGCCTGTGTCCTTATTGGGCTGAGTGGGCTTCC